ACAATCAGATTGAACTAGCCTCTCTCTCCACTGAAGACAGAAAAGCTGGTGGGAAAGTATAGAAATAGGGTAACATTTCCTCTTCCTATGGGCCATGACATATGACATGCACAGACTAGACAGGACTTTGATCAGAGATCAGACAGTAACATGGGGAAAACAGAACAAGGAAAGGAAGCAATAAATGCAATTCCAACAGACTATCTTGGAGACAGACTAAAATGACTATGCCATTATGAAAAAGCAAGTATGTCATTGAAATCTAAAAGTCACAAAGAACAGCTAAGGTAAACACCAGCATTTGGGGTGTTGCTTTAAATTCCAAGGAAATTACTTCAGAATAAATAAATAACTTTAATGGACAACATGAAAAATCATACCCTAACACATGATAATAGGGCTAATAATAGATAAGGCACTAGGGGAGAAACCAAGATGGTGACATAGGTAAACACTGGAAATTGCTGCCTCACACAACCACTTCAAAAATACAACTAAAAGACAAAACGGACATCATCCAGAACCACAGGAAGGCTGGCTGAGTGGAAATTCTACAACTAGAAGGAAAGAGAAAAGCACACTGAGACTCAGAGGAGGTGCAGAAGTAAAGTGCAGAGGTACGGAGGCGCACGTGGAAAGGGCTGGCAACTGAGGAAATGGTTGTCTTTTTCAATCAGGAGGGAGACACAAGCTCCCGACTGCTCTGAACTCCAGTTCCGGGCAAGTTTCTGGGGACCCAGACTCATACGGGGAGAAACTAGACTGTCTGGCAGTGGACAGAACTCGGAAGTTGAGGGCGGCTTTCTCTCAGAGGAGCCTGCAGCAATTACCGGGACACTGAGATGCGGGGCCTCTTAGGGTAGGACTGAGGATCAGCCATAGCTGTTTGCTCCGCCCTGCTGATTCCCTGAGACCCCACCCCACCCAAGCTTGCACAGAGGCTTTTGCATATGAAAGGCCTGGCCCTTTGCAATCTGAAAATTACCTAACAAACTGCAGCTGGGTCAGAGAGACCCAGAAC